TAAATCTCAAGGATAGGTTGCCCTAAAGCATAGTAAACAAATTCCAGACTTGGCTTTGTTCAGCTATTATGTTCATGTTCAGCTTTGTTTTTTGTTTGTGTTGTGGCTGTTGTAAGCTTCTTCTTGCGTCGGTTCTTTATTGGCTTGCTTATATTTGAGATTTTTCTGTGCTTTGATTTTGATTTAATATTAAATTATACCTGATAATTATTTTCCGATGCACTATTTTGTAATTGTTGCACAAAATGTTCCTAAACCGTCCTTGAATCTTGTTTACAAAATGTGCAAAACGAAATTGTGCATAGTGTCTATACTTTTTCATTCTACCCCTCTCCACTTCATTGGTTGCATCGTCTAGATCGTCCTCGCAAAGCTCCAATGAGACTGGCTCGCCATCGCATCTTATCGAGAGTGAGTTGGACATCCGAGGACAAGTTGAGAGTACGAGATAATTTTACTCCCAAATAGTCAACTGCAGTCTCTTTAGCGAATCTGACTCCCAGATTTACATTAACTTTCTGGGGAAGCTGGGTGACTCTTTGAGAGTTTAGACCCAGTATAAAGAACAATACAGTAGCGACAGATTGCGTCAGCTTCTTTGATGTCGGGGTGGTCAGATTTTCAATGACAGTTGACGTTCTTGTCGCTTATTTCTACACGGAGAAAAGTAAACTCTAAAATTGCAAATTAGCGATGTACACTTAGAAAAAAATTAAAACATGTACATATAACATTTTAATGTATTCTAGGCAAATAAATTAATCAAAATATTGTGTAACTTAAATAAATGAGTTCCGGTGAAAATCTAGATGTGCCAATTTTAAAATTTTATCATTAGATTAAAATAAATTACTTTTGTATGCCATTCATTGTATGAAATGTGTTAAACATTTTTTGGTTTCTTCCTGGAACTAATAAATTAACTCAGCACCTTATTTTTTTATTTAAAATGAGGTTATTTATTAAAACACGCCTAATTAGGCATTCCAACGACCTGTCAAACAATAGGTGCCAGTGGGAAATTCTTGTATATCTAAGGGGGTAGCGACATAGTCTTGCAACTTGGACGCTATTTTTATTCAAAGTAGTAGTCGCCAAGCCTGCCAATTTATGAAGAAATGTATAGGTGTGTTTTTAAATATCATAAATTATTCGTTTGGTTTAAAAAGATAAGTACGGTAATAATCGTATATAAAATGCAAAAATTAATATATCAACCAAATTAATTTTAAAAATCCAGCTCAAAAAAACTACATACAAAATTAAAAAGTGAAATTAATTAAATCACTCAACATGTAATACCTAGACAACTTTTTTTAAATTTTCTTTCACTCAAAACGAAACAACGACCTCCGGTAGCGTGGCGGCTTCGCCGCCACCAAAAAATTTTAATCCATACCTGGCTACGCCTACCGGCATAGACTCCAACGGCCTGGACACAGCTCAAATTGAAATGAAAAGTATCACATGGGCTCGGAATTGTATTCGGTTAATTCGATAATTCGAATATACGAATACTCAAAATTCGATATTTTTAGATCAAAATTATTCGAATAGTCAAATATTCGAATAGTCGAATAGTCGAATATTCGAATAGTCGAATATTCGAATAGTTGAATATTCGAATACTCAATATTCGACTAATTGAACTAGGTATTCGATACTCGAATATTCGACTATTCGAACACTTAAATATCGGAATACTGTAAATGTTCAAATATTCGGATATATATTTTGAATTTTATATACCTAATTTAAATGTTTCTTTTTTATCTATTGCTTAAAAATAAAAGTAGAAGAAAAATGACTAACAAAATTCTGACTTGGTATTTGGTAAATGAGGGGAACCCCAACGTTGTTTCACATTCTCACTTTTTACACGCTTGTTTATTTTTGTTAAGTTATAACTTACTATTACTAGTTATTTTATTCATATTATTGTGTGTATGTCTGTCAGTCAACGCTTGCCCGCTACAGGTGTTAAATATGAGTTCAGAACGCAGTAAGATTTGGCTTTACTTCGATAAAAAAGAAAATCGTGTGTAGTGTAAATTATGTACTTACAATGTCATACACAGAAGTAATACCAGTAATTTGTGGAATCAATTAAGAACTAAGCATTATACCAAAACAAACAGGTATGAATTATACGTTAATCAAATACTCGAACATTCGAATACTCGAATATTCGAATATTCGAATACTCGAATATTCGAATACTCGAATAGTCGAGTATTCGAATACTAGAATGTACGAATAGTCGAATACTAGAATATTCGAATAGTCGAATATTCGAATAGTCGAATAGTCGAATACTCGAATATTCGAATATTCGAATATTCGAATATTCGAATATTCGAATAGTCGAATATTCGAATACTTAGAAATATTCGAATAGTGAATAATATGCGTATTCGAATAAAGTTTCAGACGAATATTCGAATACAAAAATCTGAAAAATTCCGAGCCCTAGTCTCACATAACACATTATATTTTCACCTATAACTTATTTTCTTCTCATTCAAACAGAAATCTTAAACTTGGAAATTATCAGTGATAAAAATCAACAATATAGTATGGCAACGTTGCAAACTCGAGGACCTTAAGGCTAGTTCATGTAGTTGCGAATCGCGAATTGCGAAGGTCGCTGCCATTGGTCAATATCACAATAATAACAAGATGGAAATTTTGACAGCTCGAAAGTTGAATTTCTTGCGAATTCGCATTATTCAAAATCTGGGGGGCGGGAATCTTGAAATCGTTTTAATATTTTGCGAATATCGCACAAATTTTATGTGAGCGCAAGCGTAGTAGCGCCTACTAGAGTTTGTTCGATTGTTGTGGATTATGATATAGGTTATATTTGTATTATATTTGCGGTATTTGCTAGTATGTTCATGATATTCTTCTTTGTTTTTTTTTTTAGTGTGATTTAGCCGAATATATGCTAAATTGTGATATTTTGCTCTTTGTTGTTTCCTGTTTAAATGTTTCACAGACGTAAACTGCGTACCATTAATTCTAATAATATGTATTTTTTAACAATAAATAAAGCTAATTCATTATCGTATTCGTCATTCATTTTATTTTATAAAACTATTTATCGATAGCAGACACGAATCGGGGTTATGTCACTGTTGTGTACGTACTTAAAACGTACATTTTACGTCCTGTACGTATAGTACCAAAACTGTACGTACTTAAGACGTACTGTGCTGTTTGGGTACAAATTAGTTAAATTAGTTTCAAATTGTTTAAAATAAAAGAACGTGATCTTGCTTCTAACTGAATTTCTTGGCAATACTGCCATTGAAATAACAAAAATCTTACGTAGAAACATCAAAATCATGAAATTTTGATTCAATTTTTCTCAGAAAATAGTAGATTATCCACATTTTTTTTTAATTTGTCATACCTTATAATAATAGGTACTTTTTAATGTTTAATTTTTTCAAAATGGATGTACCTAAAGCATACCGGCCCCTCTAAACATATTCAGAGAAGTGCATTGGAAGATTTTATCAATTTTTTTGAGCAAAATCCTAATTTAGTAACAGGACGACTAAATGTTGTGTCTGCAACTACAAAAAACAATACAAAATATAGTGGGCTGAGTTAAGCTCAAGTTTAAATCCAGCTGATTGTGAGGAGAAATTTACTGAAATATATAAAAGACTACAATATAATTATCAAATATTAAATTAAGCTTATTAAGTGTCTCTGCCTTCCCTGATTATGCAATTGTATAACAGGCACAGACCGATCATCTGTAAATAAAGCAATTTAAATAAAGAAACCAATGAACTAAGGTCACAACAAGCCACCAGAAGAGGCCATGAGCCGGACAAAAAAACTTTCATCCACAAAAATGAGAACCTTTGCAAATCTACGAGGGTCATTCTAGAAAGGTTGTAATGTAAGTAAACATTATTAGAATAATCTTCAATAAAATATCAAGTAACATAAAAGAACAATAAATGTACACAGACACCTATGCTGGAATACTAATAATTAACTAAAATAATAAAACTTAAGTACATATTAAAACATATTTAACTTTAAAACGGTAAAAATTAAATTATTAAACTAAAATACTAAGAATTAACTAAAATAATAGACGACCTACTTACATATTAAAACATAACTAAATAGTAAAAATTAAATTAATAAAATAAATCAGTTATAAAAATATCTGAATATTATTATATTTTGTGTTCTTTACAGTTTCGTTTTTAAAAAAGATTTCTGTTGACGAGCAAGTACCATCCAAGACATCTGCTGCTCCCCTATCATAGAAACGAAAACAACAAGGTAGAGGAGAAACTGAGTAGGGTTATATTAGAGCTCTTGATCACACTTACACTTTAAAGAAATTACAAAAAAATAACAATATTCAGCGTATTATACTAAAAAACAATTGCAGCAATACAAAGAATAGTCCAAATAAACACCAGGTTGTTGGATATAAGTGAAAAAAAATAGTACTAAAAATACATAATTAGCCAAGCTACAGATGTCTTTAGAGACTCTACCCCCTCAAACATGTGAATTATTTGTAACATGTCTAATTTAGCAGCCATACTAAAAATATATCTTCAGAAAATTACAAAACTACTTTCAACATTGGCTACATTAACAGGAATAGTAAACAGAAAAATGGACGATTTATTCACCTTAGAATCCTGAAAGTTGCATGCACATTTAAAAAAAAAGCAGGCAGCAAATATACTAAATGGATCTAAATTTAGAAAGACTATTACATGTTTTATTAGGGGAAGTACCTGTTTACATAAGACAATTTTTTCTAATACTATTCTTTAGATAAATGGGTTTTGTTAATAAAATATTTCTGAAAAATAAAGATGCCTACTTACTTGTTTCTATTATATTTTTTTTTAATGGTTAATATTTCTGAAAATATATTTTGTTCTAATATTAAACCTTTCTTCTTTTATACACAGGTAGTTAAAAAGGAAAAATAATAATTCACTTAATTTAAACAAAACACATTTATTTATGTAACATTCTTTTTTTACTTAAAAGTAATATTAAAATTATAAAACAAAATAAATAAAATTATCATAAAAAGTTGGTTCTATAAAACAAATTTGCAACTAGATGACGAGTATTCAAACATGACACACATTGAGAAGAGCCAGATATTTTTCTTGGAATGCCTTAGTCATCTGTAATTTAATCCAGAATGGACAGGATAGTCATACCTTTGGCCTCTTTGTATATCAGCTTCAAGAGCACCATCACTAGGACCTGGATCCTGAATGAAAATTAAATTGTTTGTAAACTTGTATCTATATAATTATTAGAGATAATAATTTATAACTTCAGAAGTGAATGTTGGGTTATAAATAGGAACAGAAAACAAACTGAATATCTGGAAATGACAAGTCCTAAAAAAATCTTTGAGGACAGTCAAAGTAGAAAAGAATAAACGAGGAAATCAAAAGTGCTATATGTTGATATTGCCCATTAGTTTTAGCAATCCCTGTATATTCATTATATATATTATATAGTATAGGTAATCGAGTTGTCCGTGTTGATGACATTATGTTGTAAAAAGTCAGAAATAAAATTGAAAACATTAACATTTGATTATTCTATTCTTACCCAAACTATCTAACTTGAATACTATATAGACATGTAGAGATCAGCATGTAAAATTTGGTTAAAATTAACCCTAGGTTATACAAATAACCAGATGTTATTTTCAATTTTGTATTCTGTATTATTTGATTAAAACTACATGTCAAATATATTATTTTTCTTATTTTTAATCCTGTGCTAATTTGAATGCACTTTTAGGTATGTTACATTGTTGCTATGTGTATTTTAACTGGGGCTGGTTATAAAATAACTAATAACAAGAAGTTAAACTAATGGAATAACAAGTAGAGATTTGAGTTGAAATTTAAATGGCATAGTTTAAATAACTTTTTAACCTAGTGGTTACAATTAGCTAAAACGTTACAGAATATGCTTCTAAAACAGTTACATTGGTTAGGGCATGTAGAGAGAATGCCAGATCACACATGGAGAAAAGAATATTGTTGACAAGGGAGGCGCAAATAGAAGAATAGGACAACCCAGCAAAAAGTGGATAGGGATGTGTAAAAAGTGGAGAGAGATAGTAGGAAACTTTGGAGCCATAAGTCTTTAAGGTCTTTAGCGATGGATTATAAATATATATTAATTTATAGCTTACTGCATTTGTATCACCAGATCCCTCGTCGGTTGATTCAGTAATCAACAAAAGTTTGTTTTCTTCTGCTTCAATATCAATAATACCACCTTTGCTTTTTTGATATGAAAAAAGTTGTTTCATGCGATCCTGTAATACCCTTAAGTCACTGGTAACTTCAAAATTTTGAGCATTTTCTAAATCTTTGGGAGGAAGAGCCGTCTTCAGTTCTTCAACATCACAGTTTATCGGTTCCCGGCAAACTGGACAGATTGCCTGGACATAAAATTAAATAGTAATATGTTTAATTAATATCAACTCATATAAATTGTATTCAATCTTAATCCTTTCAGTTTTACAAATACGAATTGCTTATTTCAATAGAAATATTTAATAGGTTAGATTTAAAGAGTAAGAAAATAACATCAAATGTAATGGCAGTAAAAATAATAGAATTTTATTTTAAAATATAAATACAGAAACCAATAATTAAATTTCAATAAATTTCATATCTATAAAAATTCTTCATCGAGTTACTATTACCCAACAACAGTCCATCAACCGAAAGTGTTTATATTATTAAATTAAAATTACCTGAAATCCTTTGGTAGCCTTTTGCCAAGTTGGTAACTTATCTTGTTCTTCTTGGTAATGTCTTTTAGTGGTTTCCAAATGATTATACAAGCAAAAGGAATGAAAGTAGTGAAAACATTGTGTTTTTGTAAAACTGTCACCATCTGAAAAATCATATAAGCACACAGCACATTGACAAGTTGGCAAGTTACTCTCTGTAAGACTTTCTCTGATGAGCTAAAATTAAAAAGATGTCTAGTAATTTTATTTATGATCCATGAAAAAGATAGTCAATGTCATAGATGACATCTTAAGACATTCCAGGTTCAATTAAAATTGAGGATCAAGGGTTTGTTAGAAAAAAAAAACAAGTACTTATAAATGATCTACCAGTTGCCTCAATTCTGACTAAAATATGAAGGAATAACAGTAAACTTGTAGTTAAAAGGTCTGGAAATGCACCTGGACACACCATTCCTGTTTGGACTAGTTCTGACAGTTGGAATCGTTACATATAGTTGCAAGATTATATTTTATTATTTGGAACCAGGGAATAACTATTTTACTTTTAATCACCTATTTACCAATTTTCACATCAATTAAAAATCCCATAAAAATAAAAAAATGTTTTGAAAATTTTCAAGTAATACCATCGTTATTCTTAATGTTTTTGGAAGGTTATGATATGGCAACCCTGTAGGCCTGGTGATTTGATAGGGTCAAAGAAATAGATAATTATATAGATTAATCATTCATGTTTTTGAAAATATACATAAGCTTATGCCTTGAAGTAAAAATGTAGGTAATCAGTTTGTATACACATTTTTGCTAAAGCAATTCTGATTAATGAGCATTTGCGAGGAAATATGGCCACTTGCAAACCAAACGCTTTGAGCAATCTATACAACTATATATGTATCATTGACCCTGTCAGTACAACAGGCCCACAGGGTTGTCATATCTAAATGTCAATTCCCACTTGTCAGCATTTTGGCAGGTCATTGGAATGCCTAATTAGGCATTCCAAACAAATGAATTACCAGTGGGCAGGTTTGGAATATCTAAGGGTGGCGACATATGGTGTATTCTATCTACTTTACGTAAAATCATGAATAATGGATTACATTTAAATATTTTATGTCAAACACAATAAAAATAATATTTAAAAAAACCCACCTATACATTTCTTCATAAATTGGTAGGCTTGGTGAGTACTACTTCGAATAAAAATAGCGTCCAAGTTGCAAGACTATGTCGCTACCCCCTTAAATATACAAGAATTTCCCACTGGCACCTATTGTTTGACAGGTCGTTGGAATGCCTAATAGTGATAATTACAAAATTCAAATATGTCAAATTCAGATTCTAGAGGTGAATACGCACATTTCTAGACCCATCAACTACAAGATTACCAGAATAACTTATGAATCTAATAGGTTTACTTAATTAAAAGAAGGATAGCTGGAATTGTGTCCTATCTAAAAATTCCCCACACTTGACCCCTGAGACCAAAATAGGTGGTAGTTCATTTATTGAAAAAATCCTGAATAATTATCAAAACTATGACTTAAAAAAATGAAAAGATAATCACAAAATAATCACTGGAATATATTTAGTTTCTATGACTATAAGTATACTTACAAAATTATTAATGTAAAAAAATGTAGGTAAGTACCTCGATTAGTTCATAAATCACAGGTTGTCCAAGATATTCAGTACACTTCTCTTTAATAGATTTGTATAAATCGTTAACAGTAGAATCATCCAACCCTCTTGGATTCCTCAGTTGTACAATTGGTTCACAATCTGGATACTCTTCTGGAAGTCTAACCTCTAATGTTGCACAAACGTATTGCTTATTTACCTCATTTGCAGTTGAAGGAAATATCGTTGATTTTATAAGTTTCGGACAACCCCTAAAAAAACAAGAAAAACTTACATACATTGGTCAATTTTTATATTAAGACAACATACTTTTCATCATATGTTACAGAAATATCATCCATTAAAATAGCTTCTAGAGCTTCCAGTTCTTCTTGTACCCTGAAAATAATGTACAATTATTAAAATGATCAAGTAACAAGGAATGTTCTTACCTCTCCTTTATAGACATCCTAGCAAACTACAGAAAATGGAATGAGATCAATCAATAATAAAAAAAAATAAACATGTCAGTGTCAGAAATGTCAAGTGTACTTCACAATCAAAGACGATCTATAGATAGATGAATAGGTCAACAAAGGAAACAATGATTGATTCACCAACTTTATAATGATAATAATTAATTGTTGTTTTTAATCTTTTCTTTTTTGTTGTTTACTATAGGATATACAGGGTGTTACAAAAAACATGTGACATCGCCAAAAATAAGATAAATAGTACCAATCAATATGGATCATAATTTTGTTTTGTTTGTTTTTTCAAAATATGTTTTAAACTGCTCTAACGATTTGAACGATATTTTGGTAAAAATGTAGCTAAAAAGTATGTCAAACAACTTTTAAGCGAATGAAATAACAATTGTGTGCGTGTGCAGAGCCGCCGAGAGCCAGGTCGGGCCCCGGGACAATTTTCCAGGTCGGGCACCGCGACAATTTTAGCCTTTTCAATATCACATTTCTAAAAAAAAAGGTCTTCAAGCAAAAACTTCTCCTCCTCTTTAATGAATTCTCTAAAAAAAAATTATATGAGTGATTTGTGCTCTTGTGGCGAACGTCTTGTGTCACTTGAGCCTGGGCCCCAGGAATTAGTCCCCAGCATTAAACAAATAAAATCGATTAATACTAATTGACACGCAAAGCGTAAGTATATCAGAATCGCACGAGACCAACCACAGCTTATACAATACAGCTCCACAACTCCGTGTCGGCGTCTTTGATGTGGCGGTCGAGAACCAAGCGAGACGGAATGGTGCTATCTCTGTTAGATTCGACGGAAAAGTCGGGCCCGGATTAAAAAATATATTTATTATTGAAATAATTGAAGATCTTGGCGAAATAAGGTTGGTTACATGCCACATTAAGTAAGTTTTGAGAAATTAGGTTTTAAATTTGTTTTAAATCTATCAAATATAAATAAAAAAATTATTTAAATATAAATATTACGAATAATAGCACATCTTTCGGATTAGAGATAAAATAATTTGTATGTGGCTAGTAATATCCTTGTTAACAGATGTTTTGAGTTAAAACAGTCACTTCACGACAAATTGTGGCCGTGGATGCAAATCAAGTGGTACCCCGTGTATCTATCAAGTGTCATTCATCGCGCAAAGGTTTTATAGTGTTTATACCTAGATAAACGACTGCATCGACTGACTGAGGTCTGGGAACTCGATGATATTCTGGGTTATTATAAAGAATCGGTAACTTGTGCTTTTATTTTAACAATATCGGTTTTATTTAGATGTATTTTTATTCATAAAGATTTTTAGAAGTAATAATTTGACAGTTTTTATTTAAATATTATATTTTTATCTGACCGTACCGAAGTAGAGAATTTTGAAACTTGATAGTAAAGTGAAATTTAGATTACAATATTATGCGAAATTATATAATTAGTACCTATTTTAGGTAGGTACTAAATTTGTACTTGGAGAAAGTAATATCGATTTTTACAAGAAAACTCGAAAAGTAAATTAATTTAGTTCCTAATTACTGATGTAAACATTAAACCAAGAAAACAAATAAATAGTAGTTTGTGCAACAAGAGTGGATATGGACAATCCACTCGAGTTGTACAGTATATTTTTTCTACGACCCACTGACGAAAATCTACAAATTAAAATAATTTACGAATTTTACTAATATATAAAATAAACATAAAAAAAAAATTAATTTAATTAGTTCCCGGCCTAGATTCGATCAGGGGTTTTCTCGTGGAAGGCAGATGCTCTGTCCTCATCTTCACCGACACTTTTAGGATTTTAGTTTTAATACTCGTAATTAAATGACATTCACACAGCTTGTAACTTTTATATAGATCGTCCAATTTCTCCAAAAGGTTTTTTTCGATTGGCTTTCATTGCCCATATCCTAGCCCTGAAAAAAATCATGTGTTTAGGTTTAAATAAGTTAATTATTAGACTATCATCTACACAATTAAACAAATTTAGAATTCCTAGCTCAATAGGTAACTTTAGCACCTAGGAGGAATTAATAAAAATAAAAACAGCCTAAATCTAACGTAAGTCAATAAACGAATCTGTCTATACAGGGCGTAATTGTTCCATATTTTAATTTGTGTTATAGACGTTTTTTGCCTGGCAAATAAAAATTTATGTTTTTTTAATAGAACACCCTATATTTTATTTTTAGAATGGCTTGTTAACACTATATTCAACCCTAGCATGTTTTGAAAAAATATTACAGTTTTGCCAAACAATTATTTTTTTTTAAATTAGAGAATGATGCTAACCCCAAATTAAATTATCGTAATTTAGGTAGGTTTACACTGATTTAAAAATTGTTGAATATACATACTTATATGATACTAAGCTAACGAATAGTGGTGATAGAACTGGTTTATTTTATTCAAAGTGTTTTGAAACGTGCCTTAAATATGGCTAATTTTAAGTTCAATTTACTCATTTTTTTTTAAATGTATATTATTTACGTACTCAACGATACCAACATGTTAGCCAATAACACATATACAGGGTGTCCCATTAGTGCGTAATGGATTTTGATAGCTGTTTTATTATTAGAAATACAAAAAAATGGATTACCCTGTATCAATTAGTCGGTGGTATAATTTATAGGGTATTCCATTTAAAAACGCGAGAAAACCGTTACTCCCCATTTTGACACACCCTATATACCCTATAGCAAATAAATGAAGTCTATTAAAATGGTTTGACGATGTGAAAACTATCAAATATGTATGACTATCTGCAAAGGTGTTTTGCTTTAAAAATGTATACGTTTCATCAACTCCCCTCGTTTATGGAACACCCTGTATATTTAAGAATATTTATTAAACATGGTCATACAAATTTATATAATTTTTTTTTCGTATTTCCACTAATAAAACAGCTATCGATCAATTACGCACTCATGGGATACAAAGTTTATGTGTTATTGGCTAATATTTTGGTATAGATAAATAAGCAAATTTATAAGGAATTTTAGGCCAAAATAATATACAAGGTGTTTTGTTTGAAAAAATTGAGTAAATTGAACTTAAAATTAGCCATATTTAAGACATGTTTTAAAACACTCTGTATAAAATAAACCAGTTCTATCACCACTATTCGTTAGCTTAGTATTTAATAAGTCTGTATATTAAACAATTTTGAAATCAATGTAAACCTACCTAAATTATGATAATTTAATGTGGGGTCTGCATCATTCTCTAATTAAAAAAAAATAATTGCTTGGCAACACTAATATTTTTTAATACATTTTAGGGTTAAATACAGTATTACCAAACCATTCTAAAAATAAAATATTGGGTGTTCTATTTAAAAAACATACATTTTGATTTGCCAATTCAATATTCAAAAATATTTTTAAAATATGTATTTTTCAAATCCATATAATTTTTATTTAAAACTTTTTTTGCGTGTCTGCAACACAAATTCAAATATTGAACAATTACGCACTAATGGGACATCCTGTATAAATTATATTATTATTAATGAAAATTTCTTAGAATGTGGTACTTACCGGTTTGGGTCCTTGGGAAAACGAAAGAATGTTTCCTTGCAGGTATAACCCTTATTAAAACAGCTTTTGACTGCACAGACAGAATGATGTCTTTTTTTTTCACTCATTCTACTCACAGTTAAAGAGTCACCAAAATAATAACAATACCTTTAACTTAACACAACAGGCAGCTCAAACAAAATCAACGAAATTATGCAATCAACGAAATTATACGCACGGCTCAATCCTTACCTAAGTACGATTCTGAACGCCAAAGCCGTCTTTTCCGTCCGAAGGAGGAGCTTAAGCAATGCGCGACGGAATCGACGCAAACCGTTGCCGCCAAGAGAGTGTTTTAGCTCAGTGCTCCGCAACCTTTCCTCATCTGAGGCACACCAAACTGCTCCCTAGAATTTCGTGGCACACCAAAATCTAAAATATATTTATAGCAGTGGCGTAGCTAGGTCGGGGGTCAGTTCACTCCATGTATACTAATTATTTATGGATGTCCAAACTACCTTAGTTTTTTTTATTGTTTTAAAATGTGAAGAAGTCCCTTTCAGATTTGGGGCATCAAAATTTTCACTCAGGACATAATACATATTTTTTTTTTATTTTTTTTTATTATTCAGATAGAATGAAAAATACAAATAGGTACATACATGAGAACTATACTAAATACTAGGTAGGACAGGTAGGTATACTAAATTTACTTCTGTTGACACGTCAATAGTAATAAATATTTTGACATGATGATGACTGATTAATGTGATACCTGCGCTTGCTTCGTTGAACACAAAAGTTTTATATTCGGCTCAATTTTAGACAGCGCAACTCTCATTTCTTGGTCAAGATCTTTTAAGCATGACCGTTTATCATTTTTAATTAATACAAGCGTTGAAAAACTTTGCTCACATAAATATGTTGTGGAAAACGGAAGTAGTGTGAAGATGGCCTTGTCGGTGATGCGTGGATATTCTGTCTTGATGGAAATCCAGAAAACATCTAACGGAACTTCGTCGAATTTAAGTTTTAGGGTCATATCATTACTTAATTCTGTGAACTCCTCTCGAGTTTGCAATGGCAGTGCTTCCGTGGAACTTATTGCATTGGTTGCGAAAGGATTTCGAATCCAATTGTATTGTTCCGTGTTGATAGAATGGAAATAGTATTCAAATTTTTGTTGAAGCATACTTAAATGTTGTTGGGCCAAATCCACAATCAACTGCTTGTTTTCGATCGTACTGTGGTTGGTCCTGTGATACATTTCTAGACATCCTTTTTGCAACTGTTCCTGCCAAAGTTCAAGTTTCTTTTTGAACCCTTGTAATTTATCGGAGCACGTCAATATATTTTCATTCCGTCCTTGCATTTTTTTATTAAGTTCATTCAGATGTTCGAATATATCCGCCATGTATGCAAGTTTGGCTATCCAGTATTCATCATGAAGGTGCTGGCATAGATCGTACATATCTTGACTTGAAAGAAACTCACGCACTTCGTAGCGAAGTTCAAACAGTCGAGCTAAAACTTTTCCCCGGGATAACCAACGAACTTCTGTATAAAACAGTAAGGATTCATGTTCGC